ATCAGCATCTTGATATGCCACACTTGTGAGGTGGATGGATTATCTCGCAAAGGAGAAGTGCTCACTAACACCGATTTAGACAGATTTGTGAACAATATTTGAGAGAAATAGGCCTTTTATGTACATAGAAAAAGAATTTAAGTTCAGGTCACTAAAAATGGGGACAAAAACAAAAGTGTTGTGTTTATTATATGTATATGTGTGTGTGTACAACAAAAGACTGGAAATACCCCATTTTGAATACCCTGGGTTGTCTACATTTGCAAATGGTATGCCATGATGGGGTAAATTCACATTCCTGGGCTACCATATAGTCTCAAAAGGCAACATAGACCCAGCAAACCAATCTGGCAAACAGAAATGGGCAAGCCCTATATTGACCCTGTAACTTTCCAAAACACCATCAAACCTGTACATGGGGGTATTGTTATATTCAGGAAACTTTGCTGTACACAAATATGAACACAAGTTACTAAAACAGTAAAACATATCACATCGATGATATTGTCAGTTAAAGTGAAGTTTTTTTGCATTTTTCACGCACTTTCACTGATATTGTTGTAATACGTTTTACTGTTTTAAAAACTAATAATTGTGTTCAGTGACGTCTCCTGTGTATAACAGTACCCCCCATGTACAGGATTTATAGTGTTTTTGAAAGTTACAGTGTCAGATATAAGGCTTGCTTTTCTGTTTCTTCACATTTAAATTTGACAGATTGGTTATGTTGCCTTTGAGAGCGTATGATAGCCCAGGAATGAGAATTATTTCCATGATGACATACCATTTGCAAAAGAAGACAACCCAAAGTATTGCAAGTGGGGTATGTTCAATCTTTTGTAGTAGCCACTTAGTCACAAACACTGGCCAAAGTTAGAATTCATAATGTTTTTTTTTTTTGCATTTTTAACACACAAACAAATATAAATGCTAACTGTGGCCAGTGTTTGTGACTAAGTGGTTACTAAAAAAGACTGGGCATACCACATATTGAATACCCTGGATTGTCTACATTAAAAAAAATATGTACATGTGAGGTGTAACACAGAGATTTATGACAAATAAGTGTTACAATGTTACTATTGATACATTTTAAAAATATATATTTTGAAACAGCAATGTCCTACTTGTACTTATAGCCCTATAACTTGCACACAAAAAAACATGTTAACATTGGGTATTTCTAAACTCAGATCAAAATTTAGAAACTATTTAGCACTGGAGTTTTTTGACGGTTGTAGATGTGTAACAGATTTTGGGGGGTCAAAGTTAGAAAAAGTGTTTGTTTTATTTTTTTCATCATATTTTATATTTTTATAGTAAATTATATGATATGATAAAAATAATGGTATCTTTAGAAAGACCATTTAATGGAAAACGGTATAGAATATGTGTGGGTACAGTAAATGAGTAAGAGGGAAATTACACACCGCGGAAATGTAAAAACAGCTCTGGTCCCAAACGGTAAGGAAATTGAAAAACGGTCTCTAAAATACATGAACTTATATAAATTTACAATTGTAGCTTGTCATTTTAATTTTGCATTTATTTGATTGTTCTTCGCAAAATAGTGGAGGGATAAATATCTTTAGAGATTGTCCAATGTCTGGTGTAACTGCACTAAATTAAGATATTCTGGAAATATATTTTATCTTTAGTACAAATTATTGACCCTAGTGTTGAGACTTTTTTCATGCTGTTGGGACTATTTAAGCTATCTTCAACAGCACTGAGGAGACCTGAGAAATTTGTAATAACTCATATATTAATTGTAGCTACTTTGATTATTCCAAGGTATTGGGAATCCTTAAATATTCTGACTAAAAAGGAAATTATATAACTGATCACTGAAAATAAGTGTTATGAATTGATAATTAGACAATTGTCTGCAATATATGTACAATTGGGACAGATATATGACTCCTGGGAGAAAAGTGTTAAAATAAAAATAAAGAATGAGTATATATTTTTTGTTAAAACATATATATGTGTTATGGTCAAATACTGTGAAATTTCTTATGAGAAATCATGTTATTTTGTCTGATGTGATTACTTATGTTATGGTACAATTAGTTATAGGGGTAATGCATGTTTGTTTTATAAGGCCCATCTCCATCCTCCTTTTTATTTTATCCTTTCCCATTTGTTCCTTTTATACATTTCTTGTTAATTTTGTTATGTTTAAAATCATCGAAATGTTTAAATACTGTCTAACAATTTGTTACAAAGTGAATAGTATTTTAAAATAGATTATATAGGACTATGTATATTGTAATATTTCAGACTAATGCATAAGAAGAATGGAGGAGCTGCTAATTGAGATGTAAATTGAAAAATGTATATCAGCCAATTATGTTTAGTAAAACATCACTTAAAGGACCACTATAGTGCCAGGAAAACATACTCGTTTTCCTGGCACTATAGTGGGACTCTCCTCCCTCTTCATTCGTCATCGGCCGAATGCGCATGCGCAACAAGAGCCGAGCGCGCATTCAGCCAGTCCATAGGAAAGCATTCTCAATGCTTTCCTATGGACGCTGGCGTCTTCTCACTGTGAAAATCACAGTGAGAATCGCGGAAGCGCATCTAGTGGCTGTCAATGAGACAGCCACTAGAGGTTGGATTAACCCATAGGTAAACATAGCAGTTTCTCTGAAACTGCTATGTTTACAGCAGAAAGAGTTAACCCTAGATGGACCAGGCACTCAGACCACTTGATTAAGCTGGTCCTTTAACGTACTGAGAAGTACATCTGTCTGTGCTTTTGTGCAAAAAAGGCTGTGCTTACGTATTCAGCCATTTCTACTAAATGTTTGTCTTTGCAGAATGAATGCACCTGCAAGAGAGGATATGCCGGAGATGGACTATCATGTGATCAACTAGATCCATGTTTAGAAGATAATGGGGGCTGTCATGATATGGTTAGTGAACCTTACTGCAACTGCTAAAAAAATGTGCAAGCAGAACTCTGTTCAAAGGTATAGTCTATAAATAATTGAAAGGTTAAGTCAATGTTTGTGAGTTTTGCAAAGAGGTTGGTTGACATTTTAAAAGCAGTCGATTCAGCACAAACTACTGTATAGTGAATAGTTACATAATTACATACACCTTTTAGTGTTAAATGCAATATTTTAGTTCCTGAAAAATGTCACTTTGCAGCAGTTTGCATAACTACTCCTCCACAAAATTATGTGTTGGAATAAGCACAGCTGTGTAAGAATTCCACCAACACATCAGAGCCCTTCCTACATCTGCTTTAACCCCTTAAATGATGACTGGTCCGTATATAAATAAATATATCTATGATAATAATTATACTATTACTCTTAGAACCCCAAACTATTTGGGGAGAGGGAATGATTCCTGTATAATAATGGCATTACTACGTAAATTATAATGTCGCTCACTGAACCCCAACATTTAAATTGGGGGAGAGGAAATGAATCATCTAGATTAATAACTGTATCCCCGCTGTTTAAACTAAAAGGTAAATTAAAATCAAATTACAAGCATGGGCTATAAGAATGAATAATATGGGATATTTCCTTTCAGGCTTTTGGGGGCTATAGTGTCCAGTGTGGAGATCCAATAGGCCTCTCCAGTGTGGAGGATTTAAAGGGGAAAGTCCTTGTAAAGACTAGAGCTCCCAGGACTGGGTGTCGTCCAGTGCCTAAGGGGTGGATAAAGCGAGTTCCCCATTGGGCTCCAGGAGGGAGCTGTTCCAGGACCCCAGTCAAGCCCCAGTGACTGTGGGCAGAGGTGCTGCGGTTTGTCCCCTCTTCCAGCTAGAAAGCAGTCCTTGGCAGAGGTACCCAGCCAAGGATACAGGGATCTCCGTTACAAACATATTTCCATTCATTCACTTATTTTTTTTTAATGTTTTCAGCCATTGCTTATATATGTGCATTCTTTATCACAGGCGCAATCATTTATATAATTTACTATAACGGCATCACTCTGTCCATAGCGATAGCGTGTTGCCATGGCAACAGTACATATTTGCTATGACGATCGTATTGCGTCACTTTCGGGGCGGGATAACACACAGCAGTCGTGGGGTGGTGTTACATTCACGCATTGCATCAGTACTGGGGGCGGAGCCACCCATGCGCTTGCACACTGGGCACTCACAGATGATGGTAATCACACCTACACACACCTGTGGTAAGTTTTTATCTTCATCTAATCTATTCCTATATAAATGTATGTGTTACCTTACCTTGTTATCCTGATGATGAAGTCACGGTTTGGGACTGAAACGTTAATCCCTGCGCCCTTTATATTTCTCTACAAGACCATGAGTGAAGCCTATTTCACTATTTCTACAATTTAAATATTTTAATATTCCACTATTTAAATATATATTAAAAAAACACTTAGAATGAAGATATACATATATATATATTCCACAAAATACTTGCACTCCTAGGCTTTAGGGTATAATTACTGGGTGCTTGTAGTCTAGGGGAAGCAATATAG